CTTTTTTTCTGCCGATGTTGTTGAGAAGGGTTGAAATACTGAGCAGAAAAGTTCTTATCTGGGCTGCAAGAAAAGTCCATTAGGAATGCTGATGAAGTGGCAAATTAATGAGAGAGATGGCAGTTACGTCTTAGACAGCAGTTTCTGACCTGTGTGTAACTGTACGGTAAACAAACTATTCATAATATATTGCCGGGCTTCTACGGGACTTAAAAAGAAGCTGAATAAGTTGCAAGTTATCGCTAACTTCTTCGGCTATAATGGCCTGCAACGTTTATACGGCACTAATATCGGGATTGGGTTTTGGTTGTGTCGATATTGCTCTTACTCTTCTATTTATTTACTTTCACTCTGAGGAGCCAAGTTTTGAAGAGTTTAAAAACCAATTTAGATTTTACTCATTTTTCTCCTCAACAGTCGAATTCTTGGGTTTAGCGGTTGTTCGTCTTGTATTTCTTTTGTTGGGTCCAATTGATCTGTTATTCCAAGCACAACCGCAGTTTATTATGTCAAAAACTTGTCGTCTAGTTTACTCAACGGCACTACTGCTTTTTGCGTATTCTCCAACGAAGCTGTTAGCCTTGACTGAAGATAGATCAGTGCTTCCTGTCGGTGATTACTTTATCATTATCTGGAATTTTATTGCATCATTTGTATTATGTAGATTTTGGGCATCAGTATATTCAAAGGTGATTAGTTGTTCAAGTTCTTTCAAAGCTTCAAAATGAGTGAATTGATGTTGCTAAAATAATTTCATTTTATGGGTATTTGTGTTATAATAGCTGACACTGAAACGAAAGCTACTAAGAACGCAGACAACACTGTTTAGGTTAGTGATCGCTACGAAACACTTGTGGAGGAGTCGATTGAAGACGAACAGTCGTCTGAGGAAGGGTTAAAACCAAAAGAGACATTTGAGCTGATATTTCGGTTGCTGCAGTATTGTGCCAAAGAATGGCTTTGGCATTTGTCGGGCTTTACATGGCTTTTCATCTACTCTATTAGTTAGAATCATTCATCAAACATACTTTTTTTCACTCACCTAAAACTTATGAAAAGCAAAATTTCCAATGCTTCTGAGATGGGAAGTTAATTAAAGTTACATTCGAAATGTTTTTGAAATTTCTCAATTTTATTTGTTGAAAAGAATTCTAAATTTTTTAAAATGAGACGTCGATATATAGTGAATTCATTAATTTTATAAAAGAAAACAGGGTCAATAAAATGAAAATTGTTTGTTTATGCGGTGTCTTTTGAAATGAGTTGGAAAATTTGCAAGTTAAGCATTTTTCAGTTGAATACTGTCTATGGCGCCGACTACTCTATTTTTTTTTAACATCTTGTCAATAAATGTATTATTAGGAATATAGCCATCTTTAATTATTGTGGCCAAAAACGTTTGTTCAAATTGTTAAACTATACAAAAAACGGTTTTGGAGCAATTTCTCTTCGGTGTTCCACTTCTCTTTGGCAGCTTTTCGGAATTCTGTTTCGGAATTGTGTATGCCCTTTGACCGTTTCTTTTTTAAAGTGTTCCATTAGTGCAAAGCAGATTTAAATAGTCAGTTTTCCAGTGGAGGAAGCAGAATTCAAGCAGTTTTCGAAAACAGTTTCCTAAGCTTGTGGCGTTTCGCAGTTCTTCTGATTAGATTTATCCGCAGCACCATTTTTTCCACTTTTTGATCGTTTTAAATTATCGAAGTTTTTCACTAGACGAAGTAATCACAGTGACAGTCAATTTTTTTTTTTCGCTAGACAAAAATCTATATTTTAAGTTCTTTAAAACGCTTATTTATCGTACTGTACTGAAAAAGAAACGGAAATATTTCAAAATATTTGCAATTATAAGATGACATTAGAAGGTTTCTACTTTCTTAGGACTATTTCATCTTCTAAATAAAATGTATGAAACTGCCTACTCGGCGGCAAAAAGTTATTCTTTGGAGACTTTTTCTGGTACTTTGTCTCCATTACAAAACCATTAAAGTTTTAAATGCGGTAACAGATGCTAACAGAACTCAAACAAGCACCCGTAGAATAAAAAAATAAGAGTAAAATTTTTTGTTGCTTTAATTCAAGAATTTAGCCATCTTCAACTGAACATTAAAATAAACTTAAAATATGTATTTAAATTTGAATTTAAGCACGAATATTTGTGCCATATTTTACTGGCGATGTTGTCGCTGCTGTTGTTCGAGCCAAGGGTGAACATCCAACTGACTACAATTATGCTTACAACGTATTGGTAGCCAGCATCAAAACGATGACTATAATATCATTTGCCTCGTAAGTCCCTTAAATTTGCAGAAATATTCTTGTTACATCACAGCGAGTTAGCGAAGTTAACTTAATGTAGTGAGAGATTTGCCGTTTGTGAAAAATTTTTATGACAAGAGTGATAAAATTGCTAAAACTGGCAGCTGCTATGAATTTAGGAATTTTTTAATTGGGGTAGATTTTTTGCTTTAATTTTTCCTGCGCTGTTATTTACAGAATTTTTCAAAACAGTTTCCTGAATCAATTTTGATTCTCTAGACAGGCTTTAACATAACCCATTTCGAAAAAGCATTATAAACCATTTTAATAGTAACGCCTTTAGTATATTTTGAGACCTCTAGGGCAATATCTGGAGGTTTTCGTGGTGGATCCTTTGAATATGCGTACGCACGAATAAGTCGCGCTATTCGTCGAGATTTATTCGATTCGCTTGTCAGGCAGGACGTTGCTTTCTACGATGCACATAAAACAGGTGCACTTTTTAAAACATCTGTTTCAAATAGAATTAAATCATGAAAAAATCATAATGAGAGTTTTTGAATAACAAATTTCAATGATACAAATTATAAACCACCTACTTATTAAGGCGAAGTTACGTCCCGGTTAACAGCTGATTGCCAAACGATGTCAGACACAGTTGCGATGAATGTGAACGTTTTTTTAAGGTAATTTTTTTATTACTTAAAAAGATGTATGTGAAATTTCCTAAATTATTGTCAAAGCAGTACTAAGTCTTCCCTTATCAACGTATTAAAGCTACTATCTGCATAATGTAATCCTTTACAACCGTTTAAGAAACATCCTTATGTTGGGCGGTTCCATGTTATTCATGATGGTACTTTCTTGGCGTCTATCATTAGTAACTTTTATTGTTGTGCCAATCATTTTTGTCGCTTCCAAAATCTTTGGCACCTATTACGATGTAAGTTTTTTGTTACAATCTGTATCTTCGCTTATTAATCTCTTCTAATTGCTTATAATTTCATAGGCTGACCGTATCTTAAAAGTTCGTGGCTTAAATTCTTTGACGATTGTAAATCAGGCAAATTTACTGCGGCAATAAATATTTGCTGATGAACAATCACAAAGTAGCACTTTTTCGTATTGATAATGGAGAAAGTTTACTTTGATAGAGAAGACGATAAGATACCGGGATTGTTGAGTGCATTACAGAGCGACCACCTATATCGTTAAATAGCTTTCGTTGAATTAAAGTTCATCTGATGGATAAATTGTGACAAAACGAGATATCATTAGTGAAAACTATTCCGATTCATCTTCTTGCAACTGCTAGTATTCGTGTACGACAGCTCACTGTTATTATAGAGACGATGGGATAATAAAAAGAAACAGTCAGGGCGGAAAACTACTGATAAAAGAGAATTATCCACGGAGGGAAACTAATGAACCGAATAAGTGATTAAAACGTATTACCTAGTTTCATTTTCCCAAACTTCAACAAGGCAGGATCTATAACTACAAGTTTTCACTTCTGTCTGTTTACTGAAAATCATGTCTTTTAACGGCCTGATATTTGAGGGCATAAGACAAAAAGAAGTTTATCTTACATATCGCAGCGATCTTTCTTTAAACTCAATTATTTTTATTGAACACCTCAAAAATATTTCTTTCAAATCTTTTTTCTTCGGTTTCATTTAATCCACAAAATTATCTTATTTTAAATAAAAGTTTTAAAATTTGAAAAGAACGAAAAGGTAGTTTTAAGCAGTTTCGCAAAGGTTTTTAGATTAATTATGACTCCTCTGCAGTTCTTTCTGCAGTCCTTCCTTCCCGTCGATGGCCTCTTTTGCATCTTGAAATTTTTCAACTAGTTATTCTTTATTTTAAAATTTCTATGCTTAATAACTTTTTTAATTTTTTACTGCTCCCGGTGGAATATTCACCCGCTCCAGATCCAAAATCTGCGGGACAGAGCTGTGATTCAGATAAAGTTTTAGCATAAAAACAATGATCTCAAATAATCTGCTATTGAAGTAATAGCAGATAAGTTAAATGTGAAATGATAACGCAAGAAAAAAAGTCACTTAGTCTATAATTATCAATAGTGTACTTCTGAACCTGGTATTCTTTGATCTAATGACCTCAATTGATTAATGTCTGCTTCTTAACTTTTGTTTTCTTGTAAAATAGTCAAAAGTGGACAGTCACAAATGAAGATTTCAATTGTACAAGAAAAAGGCTTACAAATTCTGTACTTTCAAAATCTCTCTGTAATCACCTTGTTGATATTGCATTTGGAGAAGGATTCTGGATGTGTGGTTGGCACTATTTAGTTGTTATAAAAACAATTAAGTCAAGATTTGAGATGCTATATCAAGAACATAAACTTATTTAGGCTTTATCGGAAAGGACACAAGAAAAAGTGGCTCATGCGAACGATGTGGCAGAAGAGGTACTTAGTACCATGCGAACTGTTCGTTCCTTTGCTTGTGAAAACTTTGAAGCTGATAGGCATGCCTTATATTTGAATTTTCTATTTTTTTAGTCATCTAAAACTGTCAACAACTTTTTGAAAAGTTACTTCTAATGTTTTTAATGGAATCTTTATTGTTCAGATATTACCTGCAATTAACGGAAATCCTCAATATAACAAAGCTGAAAGCTGTTGCATACATTGGATTTATTTGGGTGAACGAGGTAATCAACTGTGCTATTCATAAAGTTACACTTGTTTTCCAAAATAAAAAACTTTCAATTTTTGGAATAGTTAGAGAACTTTCATGAAATATGACGAATAACTGCATTATACTTTTACAACAGCAGAAGCTAGTTTTTGGCTATTGCTTTAAAATTTTACTTCAATTTTTACACTCTTATAAATTAACACTATACTACAGGATAAGACGATAAAGTAATAAACGATAATAAATAAATTTTATACTTTATATTAGGCTGTCAATGAATTGAATCAAATTTATTCTGATGACTAATTGAGAGGAGATTGAGCAGACAACTTTTTCAGCTTTTCCAAGCAATAATTATCATTGCTGTCCTCTGGTATGGTGGTCATCTTGTTTTAACAAATAAGCTGAAAGCTGACCTGTTAGTTTCCTTTCTCTTGTATCAAATGCAGCTTGGAGAGAATCTTCGGGTAAAACTTGGCCTTTTTTGGATTTTTAGCCAAAAAACTGTAACTACAGACATTGACTAGTCAGACTTCTTTACTTTCTACACAATACGACAACCTCCTAAAAAATAATGAAATTTTTCTGTTAAATTTTTGTGGAACTTCAGAGACTTGAAAAACATTCTCTAAACTATTAGTGACGAAGAGATACGTAAGCAATCGAAATTTAGCAAATGGGTGAAGTTTGGACAGGTTTAATGCAAAGTGTTGGTGCATCTCGGAAAGTGTTTGAATACATCGATCGAGAACCCGAATTATCCACTGATGGTAACTACATTGATGAACGTATTAGTGGTCGCATTGAATTCCGTAATGTTAACTTCAGCTATCCAACACGCCCGAACATTACAGTCTTAAAGGTCCTTTTCAAAATATTATTTAGTCTAAAACTTTCAAATTATATGCTAGTTTTTTGTTTGAACTTAATAGCGTCGATAATGTTAAGGCTTCAGAAATACAAATTTCATTCATTCAAGACAATTCAGATCAAAATGCAGCGATTCTCTGCTCATATTTCAGCAGTTACATTCATTATTGCAGAATCTGAGCTTTACTGTTGAGCCAGGCCAAACTGTGGCCCTTGTTGGACCTTCTGGTAGCGGGAAATCTTCTTGTATTGCGCTTCTCGAACACTTTTATTCAGTAAATGAGGGCGACGTGCTGGTTGACGGGATTCCGATTGAAGACTATGATCACTACTTTATTCACCAAAAGGTCACTTTATACGTAAATGTAATCATGTAAAGTGTAATCACAGATATTCGGCAGAACCCGTCATCCTTTCTTCAAATTACCGTATTCTCACCCTTAGCTACTCACATCATTTTTCTGCTATCTATGATTTTAGATTGCTTTGGTTGGTCAAGAACCAGTGTTGTTCGCTAGATCAGTGTCAGAAAATATTGCTTACGGCCTTACCCAAGTAGTACATCAGGACATAATCAATGCTGCACAAATGGCGAATGCACATAAATTTATTATGGATAATGTTGAGGGTTACAGTCGAAATGTTGGCGAGCAAGGGAGTCAAATGTCAGGCATGTTTAAAGCGCTGGTTTTCTGTATTTCGCTAAAATTTCTATCTTTCAAAAGGAAACTTTATGTAAACGACTCTGTACAGAAGAAATAATTGAAAAAACAAAGTTTTTCAGGCGGGCAAAAACAAAGAATAGCAATTGCTCGAGCCATGGTACGTAAACCAGTGATTCTTTTGCTTGATGAAGCTACTTCAGCACTGGATACTGAAAGCGAAGCACAAGTTCAAGAAGCAATTTACAAAAATTTACAAGGGAAATCAGTTCTGTTAGTGGCGCACCGATTAACCACTGTAGAAAAGGCAGACAAAATTGTCGTTATTAATAAAGGTCGCGTTGAGCAACAAGGAACTCATGCTGAACTACTCAGTCAGTCCGGTCTCTACGCTACACTTGTCAAAAGACAGCTCTTACAGAATGGTGAAAAAGATGAGAAGAATGTAAAAGCGAAAAGAGACGGATCTAGAACAAGGTCAAACTCTTCCGCCAGAAGTCACCACCTTCGTATTCCCAGTTCATCACCTCGAAGTCATAGTATGGCGAGAAGCCTTTTGGCGACTTCATTTACTCCATCAACCTCTAGCCTGCAGTCCAAGTAGTGTGCTACCATTGTGGATAAAAATTAGAAAAAGAAAAGGTAAAAACTAATTGGCTACAGAAAAAGGCATTAAAGATAAGTTGTGGCATTTCTTAATGATAGAATGTGACTGCAAATATCTGAGTCAAATGTTCATGGTAAAATATGCCTTTGTTTCGTTCTTAACTTATAATTTCAAAAAACATAAACTAATCTATTAAAACGGTATGAAATATTTTTGCTGTTGTAGTTACTGGGTTTTGTGCAATAACCAATTTTTTATATGATCTAAAACATACTAGTGGTCTGTGCTGCAAAAACTAGGAAAGTATGCCTCGCAAGGAATCAAACCGTTATGCGGCAAACAAACGCAAACAGTAATTCCCGGCAAGGGGATTTAGAGTTAGGCTGCAACCCCTCCTGTTAAGTGTGTAGTATGAGTTCAAAAAATTTCAGACTCGATTTCAGCACTTAAACTTCCCCTCAAATATTTCGATTCAATAAGGTGTGCAAGAAAGGAAAAAGTGCAGCGTCATATTCGTTAGTGCTTTATGGCTAATATCTATTGATCAATGTTGTAATTTTCATGAGATGTTTCACATTTTGCCTGCTGATTAGTGAGACACTATTTTTGTTATCTACTGTGCCAACAACAACTGCATACTGCGTGTCCAACAACTTCCTTTCCGCAAAAAGTTACACCAAAATACTCATTTAAATAGGATGAACAATAAAGGCGTTGTCCAATGCGTTTAAAAGTGCACATCAATTTGCATCCCACTGCTACCATCACAAGCAGCTTATTACTTCAATAATTCCTAATCGGTATAATACACTGCGAGCAATTGTCCAATCTGTCAGTTTATCATTATCGATATAATTTGCATTGTTACAAAAGAAGACAAGCTTTATTATCAACATACTGATAGGGAACATATAGCGGGACGCAAAAAAAAAAAACTTTGCAATCACGTTTGTAGACAACAGGAACGATGATCTACCGCAAAAATGTTGCCTGATTCATCTAAAATGTACCGCAAACACACACACACACACACACACACACACTCACACTCAGGGGCCAAGTCGAACAAACGTTGTCGTTGCTGGCTGAGACTGCTGATTCAATCACTGACCTACCACCACCACTGGTCGATCATTTATTCTCTCATCCAATTTTAGATTTCCAGCAGCAGCAGTGGCAAACATAGCTATAGAGCTGCTACTTCGAGAACGTCTGCCTTATTCTTTTAACGACAGCACTATAGGTATACATATAATTTGGGTGTTGTGTGTTGATGACAGGAATCAATTGATGCGTTCGTTGCTCTGTCGATTTTTGTCATTTTTATATTCTGTTCAACAAAAAAATTCTAGTTGCTTCTTCCAACTTTCAACACTCATTTTTCAACTGCATCTTTTTTTCCAAGTATAACTAACATTGTTTGCTGTGCCGTATTTCATGCATAAATATTATTTTCCGTTCTTCTTTTCTCCTTCCTTACGTTATATCTACATATGAAGTAAAAAGTGTTTGTAGAGGAAAAAAAGGTGAAGAAGAAAAAAAATAGCACGACATTTTGTTGCAAAACAGAACACTTAAAACTGGCTTCATATTTGGTGTATCTAGTCACTCAAAAGCTTTTGCCATATTGTCTGTATCGTTACCGCGCACTTTCAGATGCAAACTTCAGTTTGTGAAATCGTCTTGAACTTCTATCACCTGATGAAGTCAAAGAACAATTGATGCCTGTTCTAGACTTTCCCGCTAGTCCAAAATTCAATGCATTTTAGGGTGCATTATGGTTGGTATACATTGTCAAATGGGTGTTTGTTGTATAGTTAAACTTTCTTGACCCTTCTTTTTATTTCACTTTTTTTTTGGTTCTCTCAATAAGAAGTACATAAAAAAGACCAAACTTTCATTGTTATTATTATTCTTGTTCCCGTTATTCTTCTTCTTCTTATTATTATTATAACATATTCACAGTTCCCTTGCACCAACGATCTAGTAGCGAAGTCCATTATTAAAATCTAAATTCCATCCAGTTTTTACGATGCTCATCGCCTTTCCTTTTTTCGTTGAAAATTGCTTTTAATCTTTGTACATAAATATATACAAATAAATAATTAAGCGTAAATGTAAATTTAGAACTGAACTAATATACAGATATAAATACAAAAGTGAGCTTAGATGCAGAAATGTTAAACATAAATATATACGTATGCTAAAATTTACTTTTAATTATAAAAAAGTACGCACGTATGAATAGGTAGATAAATAAATAAATAAATAAATAAATAAATAAATA